TTGAGGGGTAAAGGCGTCGCGAGCTAGAGATTTCACCGGTTCGAGGTGAGTAATACTTGTAAATGATATCCTGAGGGTTTGAAACCCCGGATTTGCACATCATAGTGCTGTATTGTGGTGACTTGCACGCCAGGTATGAGCGTGGGGTAGAGCACCGTTGGGGATTGTGACTTGGTCCGTCCCGGTTGTTGATTTTACTGCGTAATTGACTGAAACCTACTTGATGCTATCGTGATTTGGGCTGATTGCCATGTTTTGGGCTTCGTGCCGTTTATTTGAATCCTTTAGGGATTATTATCACTGTTTTCATGACACTTAGCATGTTAAATGACTTCAGTCCTGAGTTAAACACAGTTTTGAAATGTGCAGTCATATTGCTAAAGTTTAAAGACTTAAATTGCTTTTTCTGATGTTTTGAGTTAAAAGCTATTACTTGACATTGCCCGAGTGGCTCATTTGCATTAATTTGGACTAAATATGGATCGGGCTGCACGCCGCAGCAATACTATGATGATATTGCGCTTGGGCTGTAGGAGCCCCTCCGGAGTCTGTACACACCCCCAGTGAGCGCGGGTACCCAAATGGATCGGGTTGCGCGCCGCAGCGGTCATATGCATTGCATTGCATTCATGCATTGGTTCCTGTTTGTACTACGTGTCATGACATTTAGCACTCTCATATCATTGACATCCATGCTACTTCTTGTACTGATTACTAGACGCCCTGGTGTTAAGTGTTTGTGGAGTGCTGTGCCCGAGGGGCTGACTTATGTGCGGACTTGCACCATTTGATTACGCATTCATTTGTTTGACTGTTGGAAAAGGATGTTTTCAAAAGAGGTTTTAAACTGAGCCAGATATTTTCTAAAGGATGTTCACGGTTTTACTGTTTTCTTAAAGAGTTGTACTGTCCTATATAGCATGATGGAGTGCTCTTACGTGATTTCTTGCCTCTCAGTTATTATTTACTCTTATTACTCATTGAGTTGGAAGTACTCACTTTACTCCCTGCACCTCGCATGCAGTTGCAGGTATTGTTCATCCGGTAGCGGGTTATTAGCTGATTGAAGGTATGGCTATTGTAGCTGAGTAAGGTGACCGCCAGCGTTCGCGGCACCGGACTTTGACTTTGATTCCAGATTTTTGTTTTGTATATTTCTGGCCCTGTAATAGTGTTCAGACTCCTTTAGATGCTCGTGACTTGTGACACCCCGGTCGGGCTGTGTTGGGTTGTGGATATCGTTAATTAGTGTCATTTAGGCGTATTTTGCTATTCATTTATGTTTAAATATTTGAGAAAGGTTAATTGGGTTAGTTGGCTGGCCTGTCTTCACGAGAGGCGCCATCACGACCAGGGTTGGAAATTGGGTCGTGACAGAAATACTAGTAATTGATATCGTGTACTTACTCTCCATCTGAGTATACATGTTGGATCAATGGAACTAGAGCTATTAAAATGATGTTCACTTGACTTAAATTAACAATATACTCTCCATCTGAGTTGGGTATGTTTTAATTATTGGGTGAATAATCTGGCATTACATATGTATGTTGCATGAGTAGTTCTTTTCCCATCGAAATTGCTATTCAAGATGCATACATATATGTGCAATGTGTTTAAAATTTTTGTACTAAAAGGTTATATACAATTGACTGAAAATAATAGTATACTCTCCATCTGAGTTGGTTCTATTTATTTTTGGATTGTATAATTCTTGCATTATATAATATACTTTGCATGAATGATTCTTTTTCCATCGAAATTTATTATTCGAGATGCATGTATGTATATAAATATTGAATGCAGTATGAATTTTCGTATTCAGTGTTTTGACTTATTATGATCTATTTAATGTTTTTATCTCAACTCCACAATGACTTTATGTAATTTATCGTATTACTTGTTAAAATTTTCTTTTAGTGATAAGATATGAATTTAAAGGATGCAATATATGTACTTTTTGTTAGAAGGAATTTAATTTCGATTTTTGGGCAAAATAAAAGATGGATATTTATTTTATTTTTTGAATAACTCTTAAGTTATTGAGCTTGATAAACATTTTATCTCTTGTGGTACATGAATGCATGACCTTGTCATTGTATATTAATGTCTCTCCTGAACAGAACAATAATAGTCTACCTCATAAGAGAATATGTTCTTCAAAATTGAGTAAAACTTATCTGTGCACTTTTGTCTAAGTCATAGTAATCTAGATAGGATTTCAAGTTGGTCAAGGATGGACCCTAAGGTTCATTGAAAGTAGAGGCACTACCAACTTGTAGATCCTGTTTGGAAGGAAATTTGACTAAAGGTTGTTTCCCTTCAAAAGGAAATAAAGCTAGTGATACGCTAGAATGAATTCCTTCGGATTTGTATGGTTAAATGAACATACTGGTAAGAGATAGTTTTGAGTATTTTTGTGACGTTCATAAATGATTACTCAAAATATTAACATATTTATTTGATGCACCGTAAGTCTTAATGAATTAAGTAAATCAAGATTTTAAGACTTGAAACGGAGAAGCACCAAGGAAATATATTAAGTTACTGCAATTTGATTGTAGTAGCGAGCACCTCTCTAAAGAGTTCTTTTGTTACTTATCAGAATAAGGGATTACATCTCAATTGACTACACCGTAAACTCCATAATAGAGTGGTGTGGTAGAAAGAAGAAATAAGTCTTTTTAGGACATGGATAGATTAATGACGTGTTATTCAGATTGCCTTATTTGTTTTTGGAATATTTCTTAGAAACTGCAAATTACATTCCGAATTTAGTTCTTCCTAAGTTAGTACCTGGGACATCTATAGAACTGTGGACTGAATGTATGCTCAGTCCATGGTATGTTCAGATATAGGATTGTCCTGCATATATGCTGAAAGGGAAAGCGGATGTAAGTCGGAACTAAGTATGGATAGGTGCATGTTTATTGAATATCCAAGAAAACAAATGGAGTTTTATTTTATTGTCCTAAAGAAAATAAGGCAATTGACATTCAAGAACACCAAAACCCACAAGTCGGAATTGACGTTCCATTGCATTTGAGTAGTGGGAGAACGTTAATAGACATAATATTCCTTTATCGAGTGGGAGTGATGTTTGAAAAGTAAACACTATAGTAAGAAGTCACTAATATTTCAATGCCATAAGGTAATGAAGGTAATATTAGTAGTACTTCGTCGTAGTGGGAGAATTCTAAAAAAAATCGTAGTTCGGTGTACACTCATGGGATAGTTTCAGTAACAGGATCCCTGAAGAGTTTAATACCAAACTAGATGGTTACGACAAAGCACTACTAGACAAATATTGCATTAGAAATAACTTTTAATAGTCATGTAAAAGAATGCCTGAGAAAGTTGTAGATGCATGGTTACGAGTCTAAGTGGGAGATTGTTGGGGCATATACTATTAACCATACATTTGGATATAGTATATTCTAATAATTGTCATGGTCAAAAGCCTAAGTGGAAGATTGTTGGAATATATACTATTAACCATGAGTTTGGTTTAGATATAGTATTTATTATGATATAATTGTTCATTCAATTTTAATAAAGTTTTAAATAGAACATATATTAGTCTGTGTCATTTGCTTATATAGTAGATGATTTAGTGCATAGAGTTTAACTTATACACGGAAGATTAAATCATCGGTTCTTATAAGTATAAAGTTTGAGTTCACAATCTAATGATGAAATTGGACAAACCATCAGGAATGATTGTAGCACAAGATTAAATATAATTTATCTTGATTATGGGAATGGTTTAATTCCAACTTCTTGCGCTAGTACATTTTGTATGTATTGAACGGATCAGGTAGAGATAAGTATTTTATACTGACTTAATAAAATAAATTCTCTAGCCATTAAATGTACTTATACTCTTAATCTTGATATAATTATTATTAGCTGTGTATATTATTATTGTTTTGATTTATTAAAAAGCGAGATTCTTTTGTGGGTCAATATGCCTGGTAAATTGGATAATAATAATGTACATTGGCGAAGTAATAGTTAGTTGATGGAATCCAAGTCTCGGTTTGGAGATTGATGATACACCTTTATGAAAGCTTATAAGTTTTCATGTGTAAACCCGGCCGGTGGATTTTGTATCCGACACATGAAATAAGTTAAGCGAAAGTCTAAAGGAAATAATCAATAAATTAAATCGTCAGTAATTTAATTTAATTGATTAGTATCTGAATCTTAACATGGGGAGTTAAATAAGATTTAATGGATGCATTTCGAAATTGAATAAGGAGTGCAATTATGAATTTTTAGTGGAATAATTCGTAATTAATTATGGTAGATATTAATTTCGAAAATTAGAAATTAATTCCATAATTGGAGCCTTGTTAATTAAATTCTGTGGTCCCTGCTGTGCCTAAATAATAGGAAATAAAGGAATCCTTTTTTCTGGTGGAAAGGAAAACCTAACAGGTTTTGAAAAAGGGTTTTAACCCTTAAAACTTGTGCTATAAATACATAAGGTTTTCCACCTAGAGGGAGTAGTCATGATGGCCGAAATTTTCAGCCCTTTTTCCTAGAAAATTTCACCCACACGAAATTACTATTTCCGGTATTATTTGGGTAACACAGTACAAGACCGTGGAACGTTCGGAGATCGTGATTGTGCGGGTGGTGGAGAATTCACTAAGTTGCTGTGGAATTGGAGACTCGCGTGATAAACGAGTTTTGTTCATGCTTCAAGAAGTAACCCGTGAAACCCCGCATACACTAGTTGTCTAGATTACATGTGATTTTGATACTGGGATTGCTTCCGATGCATATAATAATCCATCAATATGAACAATACAACGCAAGCTGCAGAATTTTAAAATTGTTAAGAAAAGAAGTCTTTTGGGGAAGTGAGTTATAGCCATCGGTTTTCGTGTTTCCTTTTTTCTAGTTGGCTTATAGTAATATGTGTCAACACCCATGGATATGAAGGTTGAGCTCGAGGAAGAAGACATGCAAGAGAAGGCAACACTTAGAGAATGAGAGAAACTGAATCTGTTATTGAGAAGAAAATGAATAACTGTATGTAATACATGAGTGTACTGTGTATGTATAGAGAACCTCAGTATAACTACCTTCTAACACTGTGCTAACTAACTTACTTCTAACTACAGTCTAGAGTTAAGCTTCTAACTCTAGTTAACTTATCAGCTTGTTTTTCTAACTTCAGTCAACAACCTCCCAGCCGATAGTCTGTCATACAATTCAAATGACTTGTCCTGGTTATTGACAGATATTTGAGTGTGCATCCTTTACAGTTCTAATAAGAGACGAGTTCAAGATTTTAAGTTTAGTACGAAACACCACTGTACTCTATGCTTTTATGTGTCAACAGATACGATATGTAAATCTATTATAAAAGCATGGAACTATTCTGTAAGAAATTAAATACTATTGCATTTATATGTGAACAGTACAATCATTTGCAAGAACATAGGAAAATTGCATAATCTTCTCTACTTGAAGGCACCCAACCAGTCAATCTAATCCACTGAAGCTCATCTCTTGTAAATAGCTCGCAATACTAACCTGCAATGGAATTAGCAACTGAAATAAGGCAACTATTGTAAGCAAACTTCTATTTCTCCTACTACTGCTCCATAAGGAATGAGGGAGTAGACAATAAAGATGACAATGTTACATGATCACTTTAATTTGCACAATAATTATTGTCATTGTTGGCATTCCAAGTCTATATTTGAGTCATTGAAATATTAAAGTTTCATCATTTAGAATGCTGTCATAGGGCAAAACCTATTGACATGAACAGCAACTCTCAATTCATGTGTTAAAGCCAGAAAAGAAAGAATCATTAAGTTTTTGCATCTGCGCAAAAACTCGTTTTTCGTGGAGATGAGAAATGGGAAAACTGCTGCTAGCTGATTCTAGGTGGTTAATTGGAAGGTACCCTTGTTAAGCAAACATCTTCTGAAGCTACTGCTTTATGCAGTTGGAAATATAAAGTAGTTAACCTTGAGCAGATTTAATGGTTGAGCAACATAAGCTTATTAGACTCTAATTGAGGTAGCAGAAGAACATGAACAGTCTGGTTGACATTTCTCTCTCTTGGTCATCTCAGTGATAGTCTTACTTTCCTTACAAACTCTTCTAGTTCTCACAGATTAGTTGTCCCATTGACTCTGTTCTGGCTTTAATGTCTAATCTATCAAAACAATCTTATATATTCCGAAAATTGTAATCGATAAATGGAAGATATGCAGTGTCATGCAGGTAAGACTTGATTCAGATGAATGTCTTTTCTTTGGACTTACCAAGGACTGAAGAAAAGTATTACATAATTTCTACAACAAGGGCCGAGGCACCTCCTCCTCCATTGCAAACACCAGCAGCTCCATATTTACCATTTTTCTGCCTCAAAACCTGTAACGTCCCATTGGAAAAGCAGAGCAAATAAACATTTATTAATCTTCAAGAACCATGAAACAAAGATATGAACTATAGATCTCAAACTGCATTACTAAGACCCAAAAGACTGAGTCGAGAGATTCATGTTCATAGATCATTTAATTTACAGATCACAATATAAAATAAGTAGAAAATATCAGGGGAGGGGGGAAAGGACCAGTGTTCCCGAGGTTAGAATTTTACTTCAGTTATAATGATGTAACACATACCCCAAGTGTAACCAATATACGAGCTCCACTGCATCCAAGAGGATACCCCAAAGATACAGCTCCACCATGTACATTAACTTTTTCCTGAAAGAACAATTCAAAAGAACACTTCAGGACCATGATCATACAAATGCATTATTTATGCACTAAATTAGGTACTGCCAAGCAACTAATATTAGAATTATTTTACGTCAGCTATACTTGATCTGTTTTCGTAAAAAGGATAATCCAAATAGTTTCTCAAAAGAAGAGCCTATCCAGTCTGATTTTCTCCAAGTTAAAGAGATTCAAAAATTTAGAAGCTCAAGGTGGAAAGAGAGAGAACTCACTGGATTAAGACCAAGCAGCTTTTGATTTGCAAGAGCCACTACCTGCAAGCAGTGTCTGTTAAGGAAGTATTCACAGAAATGTAAACAAGCTCATCTAAATATACTAGGTAAGAACGCATACTGCAAAAGCTTCATTAATTTCGTAATAATCAATTTGAGAAGCCTCTAAGCCAGCACTTTTGATAGCTTTCGGAATTGCTTTAGCAGGTGAAATTGTAAATAGTTCAGGTTCCTGCAGGTTAATTCAATTTGAGCGTCAAGAATGTAACAATTGACAGACTATACCTAAGAGGAAATAAGAATTTCTATTCGGTAATTTCTCCAGATACATAAATGGGAGAATAACATACTGTCCTCTTTATTCTTTTTCAAATTCATAGATGAAAAGTACCTGAGCAGCATCTGCATATCCTGTGATCTTTGCAATCACGTCTAGTCCAAGTTTTACTGCCTTCTCTCCACTTACTAAGACCAGTGCGGCAGCACCGTCACTGTACAGGTAAAATTTCACTAGCCATTTAGTTCAAATTGCAAAACCAATTATTTCTAATCAAATCAAAAAATTGAATAATGAATTTCTTGAAAAAATCAAATTGCTAATATATTGTTTTGGCAACATTCCACAGGGAAAAGAGGAAAGCAGCCAATTATTATCATGTTTCACCAGTTCCTCAGATGACATGTTAAGAACTATGTTCCAAAAGGGAGGGTAGAAGATGACATAAACTTGTATTGGTCAGAATCTGGCCACACGACCACAGATGCAATGATCCCGTCCCGACCACCCTGCAGTAGTAATCAACGAACTCGACTTCAACTAAACACTGCTATTTACGACATGAGCGCCGAGGTCGAGGCCTCTCCATGAGGGGAGGTCACCTCCCCGACCCGGCCCGAATGAAATATGATAAGCACGAGAAGTTCTGGGCTATAAATAGAGGGCAGAAGAACCCCTCAAAGAGAGGGGAGGATCCAAAAACAGAGGGGAACTCCATGAAAGAGAGATCAGACAACTTTATAAAGAGAGAGATTCCGCCTCCGAGAAGGGGGGGGGGGGGGAGAAAGAATTTGATTGTAATCTCCTGAACCCCTCCAAGGAGAGGCAGGCCAAATTTCTACAATCAATAAAACTTCCCAAGTGTCATCTCAATTGTTTCTTTTATTTTTATGATTCTGCTCTTTGATCCAGCATTAATTATGGTTAAAAAGTGTTAAACAACTTTTGAGTCAAACAATTTGGCGTCGTCTGTGGGGATTTCCTAGTGAAAATACTTAGTTCTTCCTGGATCGAAGAAAAAGAAACACCAAGAAGAAAATTCGACTCAAACCAGAATCAATGGAGGCGCATCAAAACAAAAAAAAAAACGAAAGAAATACGAATAGCGCCAATGGGAGGTAGAAGTCTTCGCCCTGTTGACCTCGAACAGCCCGAGCGAGGAAAGAAGTGATGCAAAACATCCCCCCTCCATCCACCACACT